GAAAATCTCATTTGCACTGCACTTACAATGCCTGTGGGTCTTTTAAGCCTAAGTGATGGAACGAATAGCATTGATATTTTAGTGTATTGCACGCATTATGTCAAATAGGAGGGGTGTTGCTTACTGTGTATCTGTAGGGGGTGGGGAATTTATGAAATGCCACAGTGATTTTCAAGTTAAAAGAGAATTCACATCCGATGACCTAGTTCTTTCTTTTCTTTGGGAAATCCCAAGACACAAGCGATAACATACACATTAAAATGCAATCAGACATGAAGCGAAACAGGAACATTAAAAAAACCTAAGAGAAATAAGAAAACTATTAAGAGAAGTGGGCAAAAAAGTGAAAATATCAATATCTATAAGCCTGATGTCACAACAATGAGGAGATGGAAATCAATCACGTTCAAAATATAAAAATGAATGTTTTTAAATCCTCTTTATAGAACAGATTTGTGGTTGCCATTGGGGGAGGGGGTGGGGGAGGGACAGATTGGGAGTTTGGGATTAGCATACACAACCTAGTATATATAGGACAGATACGCAACAAGGTCCTACCATATAGCACAGGGAACTATGTTCAATATCCTGTGATAAACCGTGATGGAAAAGGATACGAAAAAGAATATATATACGTATAACTGAGACACTTTGCTCTACAGCAGAAATTAACACAGCATTGTAAATCAACTAGACTTCAATCAAATTTTAAAAATAAAAAACAGGGACTTCCCCGGCAGTCCAGTGGTTAAGACTCTGCGCTTTCAATGCATGGGACGCAGGTTCGAATCCTGCCCGGGGAACTAAGATCCCACGTGCCACGTGGTCAAAATAAATAAATAAAATAATTAAAAAAAAAATCTTCTTTATAAATATACATAGAAAAATGGGACTGCTATAGAAAGCTGCCATGTTTTAAATGAAAAGTCAGGAGTAAGAGGTGATATGATGCATCAATCATTGGCCAAATTGGACTAAGGAGGACCTTACACAATAGAATAGAAGACAGCTTTCAAGGAAGCAGCTATCAGGACACAGAGACTAGTGATCTTTGAGAGACTCAAGAGGAACCAGTTGAAACCCTCAATTGCCTGGGCTTATTGTGTTCAGTGTTTCCAAGCCATGATCTAGGAAGGGGAATCTAGGCAGACCCCAGAAAGCTTCTCTGAATCTTAGGAGACCAAGGCAGGTAGGTTCTCAGGACAGAGTACAGGAAAGAGATGGTTTCACCCAGACAGAAGAAAGGAGATCTGCAAAGAATCCTCCCCATGTTGTCAGCTGAGTAAATATCAGTGCATATACGTAAGGAAACAATTACTCAAGCTTCTCAAAGCTGGGGAAAAACAAAAACCTAAAATTTCCCACAGATCACCCAGGACCAGGATCAGTTCCTGTTCCAACCATCCATCCTGGAAAACCTCATGAAGCTTGCATGGGATATTGGATAAGATGCTCATTAAGGGATAATTAGCTTCCACCTGACAACCAGTCTGGTCCAATCTAACAGATATTAACAGCAAGATGTAAAAAAGTCAAGCTGTGTCCACATGATTTAAGTGTGTCCCAGAACAAATGTCAAAGATATCTATAAGAATACAAAAATATCCAGCATCCAACAAGGTCAAATGCACAATGTGCAGCATCCAGTCAAAAATACTGCATAAGATACAATCATGTACAGAAACCAACGGTGTTTCTATACACTGGCTAAAGGAATCAAATCCAAAACACCCTTTATCAAAAAACGAATACCTTTGACCATGGCATCAAAAATACAGAATATGTAGGGCCAAATCGAACAAAAGATTTTAAAGACCTGTACACTATCAACCAAAAAAAGTATTCCTGAGAAATGTACAGCGTTAAGAGTCAGAAAAATCAGTATTGTTAAGATGTCAACCATCTTCAGACTGATCTATATATTCAATTAAATGTCAATCAAGTCCCCAGCAGGCTTTTGGGTGGAAAATGACAAGCTGAATTTGAGCTGCATATGGAAATGCAAAGGATGTAGCCTGATCACAATGACTTTGAAAAAGAAGAATGACTTGAAGAACACACATTACACATATTACATTATTCTAAAGCTACCATAATCAAGACGGTATGCCATCACCAACAACATAGACAAATAAACCAGTGGAACAGAATACAGTGTCCAGAAATACACACACATACGCACAACTGATTTCTGAAAAATTGTTCTAAGGTAATTCAGTGGAGAAAGGACGGTTTTTTAAACAAATAATACTGGAGCAGATATCCATATGCCAATCCTCCCCTGCCAAAAAACACCTGAGTATATACCTTGCATTAAAAAATTAACTCAAAATGAATCATGGCTTGAATTTAAATTTGGATTTAAAACCTAAATCTATATAAGAGAAAGAAATGTGACCTAGGGTTAGCCAATGATTTCTTAGATATGACACCAAAATCACAATCCATAAAAAAATTATAAACAGAACTTTAAAATTAATAGTACCTGCACTTCAAAAGACACCGTTAAGAGAATCACAGTACAGCTTGGCCTGGCACCCTCATGGTGCGGCTTTTTTAGAGTCTGAGCTCTGGGTCAGTCATGTGGCTGACAAGGTCTTGGTGCTCCGGCAGGGTGTCAGGCCTGTGCCTCTGAGGTGGGAGAGCCAAGTTCAGGACATTGGTCCACCAGAGACCTCCTGGCTCCACGTAATATCAAACGACAAAAGCTCCCCCAGAGATCTCCATCTCAACATTACGACCCAGCTCCACTCAACAACCAGCAAGTTCCAGTGCTGGACACCCCATGTCAAACAACTAGCAAGACAAGGGCACAATCCCACCCAATGGCAGAGAGGCTGCCTAAAATCATAATAAGGTCACAGACACCCCAAAACACACCACCAGACGCGGTCTTGCACACCAGAAAGACAAGATCCAGCCTCATTCACCAGAACACAGGCAACAGTCCCCTCCACCAGGAAGCCTACACAACCTACTGAACCAACCTTACCCAGTGGGGGCAGACACCAAAAACAATGGGAACTACGAACCTGCAGCCTGTGAAAAGGAAACTTCAAACACAGTAAGTTAAGCAAAATGAGAAGACAGAGAAACACAAGGCAGATGAAGGAGCACGCTAAAAACCCACTGGACCTAACAAATGAAGAGGAAATAGGCAGTCTACCTGAAAAAGAACTCAGAGTAATGACAGTAAAGATGATCCAAAATCTTGGAAATAGAATGGAGAAAATACAAGAAACATTTAATGAGGAGCTAGAAGAACGAATGAGCAAATAAACAATGATGAACAACACAATAGATGAAATTAAAAATACTCTAGAAGGGATCAAAAGCAGAATAACTGAGGCAGAAGAATGGATAACTGACCAGGAAGATAAAATAGTGGAAATAACTACGGCAGAGCAGAATACAGAAAAAAGAATGAAAAGAACTGAGGACAGTCTCAGACACCTCTGGGACAACATTAAATGCACCAACATTCGAATTATACGGGTCCCAGAAGAAGAAGAGAAAAAGAAAGGGACTGAGAAAATATTTGAAGAGATTATAGTTGAAAACTTCCCTAATATGGGAAAGGAAATAGTTAATGAAGTCCAGGAAGCACAGAGAGTCCCATACAGGATAAATTCAAGGAGAAATACGCCAAGACACATATTAATCAAACTGTCAAAAACTAAATACAAAGAAAAAGTATTAAAAGAAGCAAGGGAAAAATAACACACAAGGGAATCCCCATAAGGGTAACAGCTGATCTTTAAGCAGAAACTCTGCAAGCCAGAAGGGAGTGGCGAGAAATATTAAAAGTGATGAAAGGGAAAAACCTACAACCAAGATTACTCTCCCCAGCAAGGATCTCATTCAGATTCAAAGGAGAAATTAAAACCTTTACAGACAAGCAAAAGCTAAGAGAATTCATCACCACCAAACCAGCTTTACAACAAATGCTAAAGGAACTTCTCTAGGCAGGAAACACAAGAGAAGGAAAAGACCAACAATAATAAACCCAAAACAATTAGGAAAATGGTAATAGGAACATACATATCGATAATTACCTTAAATGTAAATGGATTAAATGCTCCAACCAAAAGACGCAGACTGGCTGAATGGAGAACAAAACAAGACCTGTATATATGCTGTCTACAAGAGACCCACTTCAGACCTAGGGACACATACAGACTGAAAGTAAGCGATGGAAAAAGATATTCCATGCAAATGGAAATCAAAAGAAAGGTGGAACAGCAATTTTCACATCAGACAAAACAGACTTTAAAATAAAGACTATTAGAAAAGACAAAGAAGGACACTACATAATGATCAAGGGATCAATCCAAGAAGAAGATATAACAATTGTAAATATTTATGCACCCAACATAAGAGCACCTTAATATACAAGGCAAATGCTAACAGCCATAAAAGGGGAAATCAACAGTAACACAATCATAGTAGGGGTCTTTCACTTTCACCAATGGACAGATCATCCAAAATGAAAATAAATAAGGAAACACAAGCTTTAAATAACATATTAAATAAGATGGACTTAATTGATATTTATAGGACATTCCATCCAAAAACAACAGAATACACTTTCTTCTCAAGTGCTCATGGAACATTCTCCAGGATAGATCATATCTTGGGTCACAAATCAAGCCTTGGTAAATTTAAGAAAATTGAAATCATATCAAGTATCTTTTCCGACTACAGCGCTATGAGACTAGATATCAATTACAGGAAAAAACCTGTAAAAAATACCAAAAAAACTGGATGCTAAACAATACACTACTAAATAACCAAGAGATCACTGAAGAAATCAGAGGAAATCAAAAAATACCTAGAGACAAATGACAATGAAAATACAAAAACCCAAAACCTATGGGATGCAGCAAAAGCAGTTCTTACGGGAAGTTTATAGCAGTACAATCCTACCTCAAGAAACAAGAAAAATCTGAAATAAACAACCTAACCTTCCACCTAAAGCAATTAGAGGAAGAAGAACAAAAAAACCCCCAAAGTCATCAGAAGGAAAGAAATCATAAAGATCAGATCAGAAATAAATGAAAAAGAAATCAAGGAAATGATAGCAAAGATCAATAAAACTAAAAGCTGGTTCTTTGAGAAGATAAACAACATTGATAAACCATTAGCCAGACTCATCAAGAGAAACAGGGAGAGGACTCAAATCAACAGAATTAGAAATGAAAAAGGAGAAGTAACAACTGACACTGCAGAAATACAAAGGATCGTGAGAGATTACTACAAGCAACTCTATGCCAATAAAACGGACAATCTGGAAGAAATGGACAAATTCTTAGAAATGCACAACCTGCCGAGACTGAATCAGGAAGAAATAGAAAATATGAACAGACCAATCACAAGCACTGATATTGAGACTGTGATTAAAAATCTTCCAACAAACAAAAGCCCAGGACCAGATGGCTTCACAGGCAAATTCTATCAAACATTTAGAGAAGAGCTAACACCTATCCTTCTCAAACTCTTTCAAAAAATTGCAGAGGAAGGAACCCTCCCAAACTCAATCTATGAGGCCACCATCACCTTGATACCAAAACCAGACAAGGATGTCACTAAAAAGAAAACTAGAGGCCAATATCACTGATGAACATAGATGCAAAAATCCTCAACAAAATTCTAGCAAACAGAATCCAACAGCACATTAAAAGGATCATATACCATGATCAAGTGGGGTTTATCCCAGGAATGCAAGGATTCTGTAGTATATGCAAATCAATCAATGTGATACACCATATTAACAAATTGAAGGAGAAAAACCATATGATCATCT